AGACCAGGCTGGCCTCAAATTCTCGAACTCAGAAATCCGCCTGCCTCTGCCTCCCAAGTGTTGGGATTAAAGGCGTGCGCCACCACCGCCCGGCGTAAATACATTTTTTTAAGGTGAAAGGAAAAACTAAATTTTCCTTTGTAGTGGTTATCAATTAGAGATAGCTTCTAGATTAGGGATGGGGCATGTGTCCACTTTCCCCATGAGATTCTGAGATCCCCATCTGGCTTGGACCTGTGCTTTTTGCCAGAGTCTCTGTGAGTTCATGCTATTACTTGAACATTGGTATCTTCCACTCCACTGGCTCTTACAGGTTTTCTACCTCCTCTTCTGCAGGATTCCTAAGTACTGACTGAGGGGAGGGGTTTGATGACAGCATCCCTTTTAGGATTTCGGGCTCCAAGGGCTCCGAGGTCTCACCCTCTGCACATCATCCAATTGTGGGTCTCAGAATAAATTGTATTTTTCCAGTAAAAATAAAAAAAGGGAGGAGGATGGTGCAGAGAGATGGTACAGTGATTAAGATCATTAACTTAGGGCTGGAGAGATGGCTCAGCGGGTAAGAGTACTGGCTGCTCTTCCAGAGATCCTGGGTTCAATTTCCAGCAACCACATGGTGGCTCACAATCATCTGTAATGGGATCTGATGCCCTCTTCTGGTGTGTCTGACTCACCAGTGTACTACTCATATATGTAAAATAAATACAATCTTCAATAATAATAATAATAATAATAATAATAACTTAAAGGACCAGGGTTCAAGTCCCAGCATCTGCAGATAGTTCTGTAACTCTAGTTCCAGGGCCCTCTTCTGCCCTCTAATGGTATCAGACATGTATAGACAGAGGTAAAACATGCTGGCAAAACACTTATCAGATAAAATAAAAATGGATTTTAAAAAAATCAGGTTGGTTGTGGTGGCTCATAAAGTTAGATATGCTGAGAAGGCAGACGCAAGAGGATCTCAAGTTCAAGATTAGCCTGGACTCCCCTTTGTGTGCTGGTGAGATGGCTAGAGTGATCAGAGCTCTTGTCGAGCAAGCCTGTGACTACAGGTCAATCCCTGGCCGGGCTCCATGGTGGGAAGAACACTCGTGTGCCCTGCCTCTTAGTCAGCTCCTCAGAGGGAGCTTCATTGCTTGTGAGTCACAGGGCTTTGCTGTGTAGCTCAGAAGGTCTCAATTTTTCTTTTCTAAAATTTATACGTGTGTGTGTGTGTGTGTGTGTGTACATGTGTGTGCACAACATGATGTGCTCGTGAAGTCAGGTCAAGACTTGGAGTCACTCCTCTCCTTCCAGTGTGTCCTGGGGATTGAACTCAGGACATGAGCATGGCAGCAGCTGCACTAAACCTACTGAGCCAGTCTCATCAGCTCTGGCCTCAAACACCCGATCCTCCTGTCACAGCCTCCCAGGCGTGAGGACTGTACATATGCACTACCATGCCCAGCCTATAGATCTATAGATATCTGTTTTTATTCATCTTTTTTTCCTTTTCCCTTGGTGATAGTGGTCTGTGTAGCCCTGGCTGTCCTGGCACTCACTCTGTAGGTCAGGCTGTCCTTGAACTCAGAGAGTTTAGATTACATTTAGAGTGTATGTACACACAGGTCAGAGGACAACTTGTGGAAATCAGTTCTCTTCTTGTACAGCATGAGTCTTAGGTGTTGAACTCGGGTCATCAACTTGGCACCCCTATCCTCCAGCCATCTCCACCAGTCCCTCCCTAGTCTAGTTAGTCTTTTGTAGATGAAAGCCAGTGTCGGGAGGGAGGGAGGGAGGCAGGGAGGGAGGGAAGCTCACCCCCCCTCTTTCTCTCTCTTTTCCCCCTCCCCTCTCCTCCCCTCCCCTCCCCTCCCCTCCCCTCCCCTCTTCTCTCCTCTCCTCTCGTCTCCTCTTCTCTTTTTTCTTTTCTTTTCTGTGCTAGAGATGAAACCCCAGCCTTGTTCTTTGTAGGCAGGATCTCTGTCACTGAGCTGTATCCCCAGCTCTGGTTTACTTGAAATGATCATTCTGACAGATAAATGTAGACTAAGAGGCAAGAGAAACCAGTTGGAAAGCATACTTGACAATTCAGGTGAGAGATGATACCGAGGACCTTGAACTGGGTCAGAAGCAATAGACTTTCAGGTGGCCCAGGTATGGTGGCACCTGCCTATAAACCCAGCCCTCAGGGGTTCCAGGTAAGACTTCCCTATATAGCTACTTCAAGGACAGGATAGCCTGCATGTGACTTTCAAAAAAACATGGGAGGCTGGGTATGATGGTATGTCTTTAGTCCTAGCACTTGGGAGGCAGGTGGATTTCAGTGAGTTCGAGGACAGCCAGGGCTACACAGAGAAACTCTGTCTCAAAGAAAAAAAAGAAAGGAAAAAAAAAAAAGAAAAAAGTTTTGAGAAGAGTCATATGTTAAGGGATATATATATATATATACACACACACACACACACACATTTATAAATATATACACATACATATTCATAGTTAGCTTTTTAATTAGATATATCCTTTTAGTTAACACTTTAAATTACATTTATCATGTATTTATTTGTGTGTGTTTGTGTGTGTGTGCGTGTATGCCCTGACACATACTGAGTCAGATGATACTCTGTGGGAGTTGGTTCTCTGCTTCTACCAGACTTAGTAGCAAACACCTTTATCTGCCAAACCATGTCCCCAATCCAGCTTTTGAGCTTCTAAAAAGTGAACTCTGAGCCCGTGTGACAGCATGGATTTGAAGCGCATTCTGCACAAGCCTAAGATCAGTCTCTGGAACCCACTGTAGAAAGGAGGACTCCCAGCCATGTGTGCTCCATGGTGTGTGTGTGACATGCACTTATACACACTCCCCAGTTCTGGGCACACACGTAATAAATGCAAAGTTCACTTGAGCACTGTTGCCCATTGCTGAATGCCAGGTAGTGTCTTCACAGGGACCAGGGGACTTTCTCAAAGAAATAAAGGATGTCTTTATATATGATGGGGATGAGGAGGGGTCACTTTGGTTTTTGAAACAGGGTATGGTTATATAATCCAACTAGCCTGGAACTTGGGACCCTCCTGCCTCTGTTTAGCCTTCTGAGTGCTGGAAGCCCCACCCCCACCCCACACTATATTTATGAAACTGAGAACGGTGTCATTCCACAAAAAAACAATGCTAGTCCTATTTAGGATCCCAGGTGTGGCGTTTGTGACTCAGGGGCAATACCTCATCGAAAGTTCATGACAGGCCTCATAGAGAAGAACTTGAGTCTACACAGAGAAATCGCAACTTCTCAGGAGAGTTTCCCATTTCAAACTATGTGATTTGTTGTTGGGTCTTATGTTTTTCCTTTCATTTAAAAAAAAAAATTGAAAATTTTTATTTTTGTATGTGTGCGGGTAAGAGAGAGGAGAAAGAATATGCCATGTGTGTAGGTTTTTGGGGAGGTCAAAAGGAACTGTTGAATCCTCTGAAACTGAAGTTAAAGGTTGTTATGAGCTGTATTGTGTGCTGGGAACTGAACTTGGGTCCTCTGGAACACTAACAAGTACTGTTAACTGCTGCGATGTCTCTCTGGCCCCCGGTTGTTTGTTTGTTGAGACAAGGTCTTGCTGGCATGGAACTCAAAGAGACCTGCTTTGCCTCTGCCTCCCAAGTGCTGCTGGGATTAGAAGTGTGTGCCAGCATGCCTGGATTTTTTTTTCTTACCTTTACTTTGTGTGTGTGTGTGTGTGTGTGTGTGCGTGCTCACGTGCATGGTCATGAATACACACACAGTCCATGGGACGTATGGAACTCAGCAGTTTGTAGCCATTCTCTCCTTTTACCTGGGAGTCCCCTCTCCAGCTCCATTTGTTTTCTGAGGCAGCTCTTGCCATCTAGGGCAGGTGCTTACAAGACTTCCCCCTCAGCCATATGCCCTTGTACTCTCTTCTGTTGTGGTTAGTGAGGCTCTCCCCGTCCCTAGGGTGTGTCTGAGTCATCATTGAAGTTCTATGTATAAAACACACCTATCGCCATAAGGATCTGCTGTGGTCGCCCTTGCCTGCCGAGCTTACCTTCTTCTGGACTGACTTGGCAGTTGCTGTGTATGGGATCCTGTTGGCTATTAGTGATGGACAGCCTTGTGTCCTCATCTCCATTGTCCTGGTGTGTCCTGAGTGTCTCTTACTCTTACAGAACCTTTTGCTTGTTTATCTTGTCTCTCAACTCATTTCTACGCCTGAGCACAGGAAGCAAGTCTTATGCCTGACCTGGGAATTCTTTGCCCCCAAAAGATCTGTCATTTACTGTGAGCCCTGGACCTCTGTTCCTAGAATCTGCTTGCAGGCTTCATTGGCTTCATAATGACTGGATCCAGGCTCTCAGCTCTTGCTAATTCCTTTGTGTCCCTTTTGCCCCTACTGTCCCTTCTAGGCGCCTCATTGTGAGCATGCCTTCTGCAACGCCTGCATCACCCAATGGTTCTCTCAGCAGCAGACGTGTCCGGTAGACCGTAGCGTTGTCACGGTTGCCCACCTGCGCCCGGTACCTCGGATCATGCGGAACATGTTATCAAAGCTGCAGATTGCCTGTGACAACGCTGTGTTTGGCTGCAGTGCTGTTGTCAGGCTTGACAACCTCATGTCCCACCTCAGTGACTGTGAGCACAACCCGAAGCGGCCTGTGACCTGTGAGCAGGGCTGTGGGTGAGATTCCTCCTTCCACTCCATTCAGACAAGGGCCTTCCTGGCTGCACTCCTGTAGACAAGGAACACTCCTGACCTTCTTGGCTCCCTGCCCGCAGATCTCCACTTTCCAACTACAATCATTTTGCTCTCGTTAAAAGAAAGAGGACAGCAGTCCAGTGACCTCTGGTAGCTCTGAAGATCGAGGCGCTTTATTTTCTCTCCAGGCCAATATACTCTGTTGGGCTGCCTGTGTCAGTCTCTGGCCTCTCATGCTCCCCTGTGCCCTGTTTTCTGTCTGTGTGAGGTGGGAAGTATTAAACTAACGCTGATCCTTTGAGCAGTGATGTAGGACTCCTCATAAAGGAATGAGTGCAGGTAGACTCCAGCAGAACAGCCTGGGAGGCACAGAGCAATTTCTCTCTTAATTCAGGATGGCTTCTAAGATTTGGGTTGGCTCTTAAAGGCACAAGAGGAGAATCCATGGCCGAGGCGCTGGGCTTGTGTTGCTGGCTCAGTTGGCAGAGTGCTTTCCTAGTATACATAGCGGTTTTGTCTCGAGCACCATGGGAGCCAGCGTGTGATCACACTCATAGTCCCAGCACTGGAAGGTGGAGGAAGGAGATCAGAAATTCAGAGTCATCCTTAGCACAAGTTGGAGGACAGTCTGAGTTAAGTGAGACGTGTCTTGAGGTGTTTATCGTTGGGCCCCCCACAATGCTGTCTGGTGGGTAAAAGTTCCATGTAAGGGCAAGGAGCATGTTTGGAAAAAGAAAGCGGAGAAAGGAAGGCCTGGAAAGATTGTTAGCGTGTGAGCTGCAGAAAGCCCACTCGGCAGTTTTCTGTCACAGACTAAGCCATGAGCCTGTAGTGTCCCGTCCATAGCCTCTTCTGCCCTTGTCTCCTTCTGGACTGCAGCCTGGAGATGCCCAAAGATGAACTGCCGAACCACAACTGCATCAGACACCTGCGCTCCGTGGTCCAGCAGCAGCAGACACGCATCGCAGAGCTGGAGAAGACGTCTGCCGAACACAAGCACCAGCTGGCAGAGCAGGTGGGGCCCAGAAAATGCAGGGGGGACATGTCTGCCTCGGTAAATAACCTCCTGTCCATCCCAGATACCACCGCGAACACCATAGCCTGCGTCCTCTGTGTACAGTTTAGTAGAGAATCACTGGACCTGTCTGCTCTCACTTCCCTTCCTCCCATTCAACCACTCGGTCATCTGGCATGTGGAGTGCCTTCTTCATGAAGCCATTTTGCTATGTCTTTCCCCTCCCTTCCTGAAGAAGCTTGTAGTATACTGTTCCTCAGATCTCCCAAGCACCCTCATTCTCAGACCCGCTGTTGGCTTAGGACACGTGTCCTCTCTGGTTCTCTTCCCACCAACAGAAGCGAGACATTCAGCTGCTGAAGGCATACATGCGAGCAATCCGCAGTGTCAACCCCAACCTTCAGAACCTGGAGGAGACGATCGAGTACAACGAGATCCTCGAGTGAGTGCCACTCTGGGCGTAATGTCAGAGGGAGGGCAGGACCAGAGAGAAGAGCAGAGCAAAACCCTCAGCTCCAGTATAGGGTGGTGGTTCAGTGGGGAGTGTGGCGGGGAGTCCTGCCTGAGGATGCAGTGGTCCAGAATTAGCTGAGGACCACCATGTACAAAACATGTACTAAGAGCTTTGGGGCACTCAGGATCAAACGGGATAGCTTAGAACTCAGAGGAGAAGGGGCGGAGTGTACATCCAAGAAAGTCTCTAAAATCCAGCAAAACCAAGCAAGTGAACCAAACAAGGGAAGTGTAAGACCATGTAAGACCCTTTCCATTTGGAGGCCTGTGTAGTTGGTAGACCAGACTGTGAGTGTGGAAGTAGAGAGGAATAGGGCCAAGGTCCACCGTGTAGAGGACTTTTCTTCACTCAGGACAGTCTGACACTTGCTGTGTGGTAGGCATCATACATGCATTGGGATTTCAAAGAATAACAGCCTAGACTCTGGGATTGAGCATGGTCAGTGATCTGACGTGAACAGCAGGCCCAGCTAGAGAAGCATTTGGGTTTTCTGGACCAATGCTGGAAAGAAAGAAAGTCAGGTGGCAAAAGTCAGGTGGCCTGCAGAGTGAGATCATCTCTGAGGAGAAAAAGCCAAAGCAGAGAAAGGCAGGAGCTGGACTGACCATCCCAACCCCTCCACACAGGTGGGTGAACTCCCTGCAGCCGGCCAGAGTGACCCGCTGGGGAGGGATGATCTCCACTCCGGACGCTGTGCTCCAGGCTGTGATCAAGCGCTCCCTCGTGGAAAGTGGCTGCCCAGCCTCTATTGTCAACGAGCTGATTGAAAATGCCCACGAACGCAGCTGGCCCCAGGGTCTGGCCACACTAGAGACAAGACAGATGAACCGGCGCTACTATGAGAACTATGTGGCTAAGCGCATCCCTGGCAAGCAGGCTGTAGTGGTGATGGCCTGTGAGAACCAGCACATGGGTGACGACATGGTGCAGGAGCCAGGGCTTGTCATGATATTTGCGCATGGTGTGGAGGAGATTTAAGAACATAACTGACTATCAGGAAGAGGTAGGGTTGGAAAACCCATTGCTCTAGCAGCTGAGCCCTGATTTCTCCACAGCCCTTATGCCACGTACTCCCTGCTTCTGACACGAAGGACCTTGGGGCACTTAGCTCAACCTTTCAGCGGAGAACCCAAATTCCTACCTTTTGCTATATTCTTCCCCCTACAGTGTCTGTAAATTTTTAGTCAGGGTGGAAAAATCCCCACTTCTATATTTTCCTGACTAAGATCCCTGGTTCCCAAATATTTTCAGAAAGCACAAAGAAATTTGTTTTCCCTAGAGGATCAGGGTGGAGTAAGGCATATCTAATGTCCCTCTCATGTGAGCAGGCAGGCTTGCTGACTCTATGTAGCATTGGGAGAGCAGCTCTGAGGAGCCAGCATCCAGCAGAAGGGCTAAGGGTGTGGCCAAACCCTCTAACTAGTGAGGCCAGCACCTGGTCATCACTGACAGCCCTTGGGGAAGACCTTTGTGCCAAGCATATCCCTGTCCAGGCCCCCTATGAAGGTGCAGGCCTTGCTGGGTGTGCAGGGTGGCCACCTGTGAGGGTGGTCAGGGTGGGTTGCTGAAATGTCGTCAAACTCTTTCCTACACGTTTCATAATTAGGGAAGGGAAGGAAGAGGTAGGCCTGAGAGCACTGGTGTTCGTGCACTCAGCAGGAAGCTGCTGTCTGGCTCTGCTGATCTAGGACAGCACTGCCTCTTGAGGCTTGTCTGTGTTGCCTCTGTAGGCCCCTCTTCAGCCCTGTGATTGCAGTTAGCTTGATTTCCTTTGGTGTTGTTTGTTTGTATTTCCAAAGTGACAAACCCCATCTGTTACCCGGTCTTGTTTTCATAGGATGGGCTGGCTGTGTCTATCCTCTGACCCAGCCCAGCCACATTGTTGGCAATTTAATTTATTTACTTTTTTTTTTTTAAGAAAGGAGAAAAGAAAAAAAAATCAACAAAACTTAAAGTCTTTCTTTTGCCCTTTCTTTTGCTGTTCCTATTGTGAGATTCTGGGTAGGGTGGGGCTGGGTAAGGTCTGTTTCATGTTTCCTTTTCAGCACGGTCTTTGGTCTGATACCTGCTCTGACCCTCCATCACCCTGTCTGAGCAGGAGCTTTGGCTGTGGCAGTCTGGCATCGACACCTGTGCCCCATGAAGACATTGTTCCCTGCCCCTTTAGGTCTTCTTGTGAGACCCTACAATTAACTGACACCTGCTTTTTGAAGGTGACTGTGCTATGTTTCCTGAGGAAACTTCTGTTTATCTGGGTTCTGACCTTCACCAGCCAAACAGGATACAAATTAGATATGTCTCCAAAACCAGGGTGAATACACTGCCTAACTCTAGTCCACCTAAGGACTCTGGGTCCATTCAAGGCTCTTTAGGTCTTTGCTAGGTTCCCTGTGGTGGCCGGTAGAGTGAGCAAGGAGAAATAGTAGGTATGATTATTTTAAAAGCACAGGCAGGAGTGTGATTGGAGAGGTCAGAGGACTCCCCTTAACCTTACACTAGCTCTTCTCTCTGGGAGTTCCATTCCAGGCTAGCCTGCTGTCTGTCTCAGTAGTTGAGTCAGGGCTCCGTTGGGATCAGGATAGAAGAATGTAGCTTGAGGACCGTAAGAACAGGTTGGGTGTTCCAGCTCTGGGGTATTGTGCTCAGGAATGTGAAAAAGGCTGCTATACTTAGTTGGGTCACTGCACTTGTTGTTCCTCTTTGCCCCTGCCTGCCTTGCCCAAACCCACACTGTGCTGTCCTTACTCTGAGAGAGGGTGGAGGAGGCTGAAGCTTCTATGCCCTCTGCAATGATGTCTGCAGCTTTCCGGTTGTGCTGTGTGCTGTACATGGTGTTCACTGCACTAATAAATCTCTCACTCAACTCTAAATTCCTAATCACCCCCTTATGAAGGATTCTTCCTGCTTGGTAATGTACCTTCCACTGACCTCTGCCTTGAGAGAGTCTGTCTGGAAATTGTATACACTTCATATGCTTTGCATTCTGTGCTCTGCTGTCCTAGTAAGCTTAACTGTATTCTCCCCAGAGTGTCCATTTAGCCCAAATCCTGTCTTCCTAGATGTTCTTGCATTTGGAGGACACTACAGAAGACTTTAGCACCTCTTTCCAGAAAGTGGGGAAGCTTCTGCCCCCTAGGGTCTCCTGACGTTAATGTAGGAAGGAAACCTGAAACAGCTCTTCTGATGTCTTCAAACCTTGATAAGGACTTTCCTGTGGCCTAGGGAGATGGCTCTGGAGGTAAGAGCTCTTACTGCATAAGAGGATGTGAGTTCAAATTCCCAATACCTGCATAAAAAACTGAGCATGGTCAAGGGATAACTCCCTCATTGTGTGGGGCAGAGGCAGAAGGCTTACTGGAGCTTGCTGGTCCCTATCCAAGCTCCAAGCTCGGTGACAGACAGTGTCTCAAAGGAATAATGCAGCCAGGTGTGGCTTTAATCCCAGCATGTGGGAGCCAGCAGGCAGATCTTAGTGAGGGGCCAACAAGTTAAAGGGAATATGACATAGTAATAAAACAAGATACCCAGCATCCTCTTCAACTACCCTGAAAGCTTGAGTAAGCACATGCATGTCCAACATGCTCACAGAGTTTGGCTGAACACTTTTTGTTACTACCTTATTTCTGCTGTGAGAAACCACCCGTGTGTGTGTGTGTGTGTGTGTGTGTGTGTTTTCAGATTATTTATGTATGTGAATGTTTTGCCTGTATTTCTGTCTACCACATGCATGTCTATTGCCCACAAGAGTCCAGAAAAAGGGCACTGGGTCACAGAAGGTTATGAGCTACCATGTTGAATTTGAAACTAGGTGCTATAAAAGAGCAGCCCGTGCTCTTAGCCACTGAGCCATCTCTCCAGCCCCCACTGTATATTGAATTTGTTGACAGTTTATCATGCACCTAGTGTAAATCTA